TGGCCTTTTCTTCTGGTTCCTCTTGTTCTGGAAGCTCCAATAAAACCCACTCAGGATACAGCAAACTACAAGCCTCCCCCACACAGGCAGGTAGTAGCTATGGTTGAGGTGCATTAGCCAGGAATTGAACTCGGGTCTCCAGCATGGGAAGCGAGATTTCTACTAGTCAATCAATGACCACTGTCCCATTGGAAACTAACACAACCGGTTTGAAATTGATTTTCATTGATAAAGCACATTGATGGGGATGATGTGTTTGTTGCCTCTGTCTATAGGTTGTGCTCCAAAGCCCAGCAGTGAATTATGCTCTCTCTGACCTTAAGGAGCTTCTAATCTAGTTGAGAGGATGAAAGAATAGGGGGGAACATTTAGATAATGATAAGGGTGATCAGAAGCCTGCCTTAAGTCCTCAATCTACATCGACTTCCGACTTCCGGTTCCTGGGCTTGTCATTGCTCTCTTTCTGTTTCTGCTTCAGAAGGGGAGATACAGATTCCATCAGGAGTGAGCTGGATTTTGCCACTTTCACTTTCATTCTCAGCACTCCCTGGGAATTGCTTGGTGAAGCTGTGAATCTCCATCACAACAGTTTCCTGTAAGGGGAAGTACACCACCTTGCCACCCTCTTGGAGCAGGTTATTTATTTTATTTATTTATTTTTGAGTCATTTGAAAGTGAGACAAAGTACCCTGCTGTTACTGGACAGCTAGAATTTTCTATCTGAGTGTGCTTCTGACAGCTTGGCTGATCCTGTCACCCGCTGTATGTACCTCTTCTCAAGGCAGATTCTGAGCTCATTTGTTAAACCAGAGTCGCTCCTGGGTGGGTTAATTTCTAATGTTCTTGTTTGATATGCTCTTTGTTGATGCTAACAAAGCAACACTATGTCATGCTCTATACACAGCCCTGCACTGGAACTGGTTCCCTTCAGGAACCCACACACCTGCATGGGTGGCTGAAAATGTCATTTTGCACCTGGGGGTTTGGGGGCCTCTGAGCTCTAACTAAGCCTTTTTGATGTTAGATGCGCCTGTGTGCAACTGTTGCAAGCAATTGCAAGTTTCTCCCCCCCCCCCCCCGAGACTGTGTGGTTTTAGACTTTTTTTTTTAAATAAGGCACATACATTTTGCCTTGTCCGGTGGAAGGCTGCTGTCTGTCTGTCATGGTGTGGAACTGAGGATGAGGCACTGCGTGGGACTAAATCCTGATTCTAACATTTCTTTAACCAAATAGATCAACCTCTCTGAAATGTCTTGCCCAGATTCACAAGTCTGGACTTGCTGCCTTCTCCAGATCCTCTGCTGGGACCTTTACACTGTACCCCTAACTCCCTAAGCAGGAGACATAGAAGTGAAAACATTTTCTCCTCTCTCCATCTCTAATATGAGACCCGTGCCCCCACCAGAGGGGATACATGGGAATCTATTTGGAAAAAACGAAGAGCTTTATATATGTAGAAGACTAATTCTTTTTTTTAAAAAAAGTTTTTAAATAATACACTTATTACCCTAGAAGTATAACATATTTGTTATAATAAAAAGCATCTTCAATAACAATTACTTTGTGTAAGCAAAAAAAATTTAAACACTAATTTTTATTAAATATTAGTTTTATAGGAATGATAATATTGCCAGTTTGTAGAATATATTGAGTACTCAATTCTTATGACTGCTTGCTGAGCTGCAGTCCTGAAGAAGGCACATGGTTTGAATCCACCAGCAGAGGGATGGGCAATCTCCTCCCTTGTCATTAACTGTCTCTGAAAACCCACCAGAGGGTCAGCTGTGGGTTGGTTCCTACTAGAAGGTACATAACAACAACAACAACAACAACAACAACTGGGAAGTTTTCTGACAGTGTAGCTTGGTGGTAACTGTAACCAACTGGTCTTTCAGCTTCCCAGTGAATGATGTGTCAAACAGCCCCCACCCACCACAGCAAGAGAGCCCTCGCCCTTGCCAGCCCCCTTCTGTGGGCTCAGCACGCCCTGGGGTAGAAATCACAGTCTGACACGGGGTGGGGGGGCTGTAAACATTTGAGCTGCTTTCCCTCAGCTTTTAGGAGCTTGCTTCTTCGGCATGACAGGGGGACAAAGGGTTGCAGTGTAAATTACCATGCAAATTACCTCAGTGTTTGAACTCATGACACCTTTGCCTGCTGCTCCTCAATGAACCTGTGCTCCTCACTTCCCACCCCACAGAAGGTGAGATGTGAAGAACCTTCCAGACCTGAACCGCTGCACCACCTGAACAGCCCCATATGCTCGGCTCCAGCAAGCTCCTGTAAACAGACTTCTGCAGCTGCCACAATGACAATCCAAACAGACTGTGCCTTGAGGTCTTCCCCTCCTGACCCCTCAGCCAATTTCCTCTGTAAATGCCTGTCCTGGTAGGGTGACTCTTCAGTTTGCAACGAGATACCAAGATACCATATGTCTTGGAGACGCTGCCCTGTCAACCTTATTTAGACAGAGGACAGAGAGGCTGAGTTTCCTTTCTTTTTCTGTTCCCCTCTCCTGTGCTCCTTCACTCTTCCTTCCTCTTTCCTTTCTTTCTTCAGAAATGTAAGATAGTAAGTTTGAGTGGTTTTAAGCCACTAAATTGATGGTAATTTATTATAGCAGTAATAGGACACAGTACAGTACACCTACCTGCCCAAGATTATGCGGATAATAGAAATGAATCTGAACCCACTTCAGGCTGACTTCACAGACCCATGTAAAGCTGTTATTCTCAGCTCTGAGGACCTGTGCTGTGCAGTATTATTGGGGCCCTCTCTTTGCTTTGCTGCCGTGGACATTTTTATGCCATCATAATCTACCCCACCCCACTGCAGTTGACTTGATTCTCCTTACAGCCCTCCACTGGGGTTCTGAAACTTGGAACCCTTGTGGGAAGAGACTATGTATCTTTCTTCCATGGAGCTATTTGTGGATCCAAACCTCTGACCTTTGTTTAGCAGACCAACACATGATGCACTATGCCGTCAGAGGAGACAGTCGTACAGGGGAGAGATATTGGCAACAAGAGGTTGGGCACCAGGGAATATAAGTACACATATTTATCGGGGCCCTAACTGAAGGAGCCCTAGTGGTACAGTGGATTAAGCATTCAACCACCAACTGAAACGTTGGCGGCAGTTCAGACTCACCATCCTCTCCAAGGTCCAACCCACCATCCTCTCCATGGGGTAAAGGGGAGGCAGTCTACTTCAGGAAAGGTTTGCAGCATTGGGAATTCTGCAGGATACTTCTGCCCCTATAGGGGTGCTCTTAAGTTTGCATGGATGTGAGGACATTGGGTTTTGCTTGTTTGGTTCATAATTAAGATAACTGAGACCATGAGAAGGTGAGCAACTTGACCAGGATCGCACAGCTAGAATATGGTAGGCCTGGAATTTCAGCCCGTGCCTGTCTGATATCAACATTCTTGCACTTTTACTTCACCACTTTTTAAGAACATTTCACCCAGCCTAGCAACAGCAGGAGAGGAAAACATATAAATTAGAGATAAGTCAAGCCCTTTTACTGATCTTCAATAAACTTTCGTCTCACATACTTTGGGCATGTTGCTAGGAGAGGCTATTCCTTGGAGAGGGACATCATGCTTGGAAAGGTGGAGGGTCGGCCAAGGAGAGAAAGACCCTTAACCAAGTGGGTTGTTAAAGTGACTTGCAGCCATGGGTGTGAGTGCCAGAAAGTGTGAAGATGGCACAGGATAGGCCAGGATTCAGATCATTTGTTCATAGGGTCGCTATGGGCCCTGCTTAGCTCAATGGCACCTAACAACAACAACAACAAACCCCTTTTCTTGCTTCTATACCTAGAAGCCTCTGTCTTGGGATATAGACTTCAAGGTCAGGGCCAGGGGGTCTCTATAGGCCAGGGGAGTCTTCTATAGTCTTGGACACCTGGTGCCATGCTCTTTCGGCCGTGGGAGGGCCCTTTGAGTGGGTATCTTTCCCAGCTGGATTCTTGCTCTCTGTTCCCTTTCACCTTTAGAGCGGCCCTTCACTCACTTACCTTTGAGTCAATTCCAACGTGTAGTGACCCTCAATCGAATTTGTGAGGCTGTAAATCTTAACAGGGAGGGGACTGTCCATCTTTCTCCTGTGGAGTCACTGGAGGATTTGAACTACTGGAGACACACATCCTTGGGTAAGCTACGCAGCCCTCTATGGACTAGATTTCTTTTTCTCTTTTCATTTTTGCTGACATCTTTTCCTGTTTATTCTCCCCTCCCTGCCATCCACAGGAGGAGGAAGAGATGGAGGGAGGAAATAGAGCAGAGGCTAAACAGTGATTTCCCAAGGGATCTGACCAGACTTCCTTTGCCTCCACGGAGTGTGAAACATCTCAGTCCACATGCAGAGTGGCCAGGCCTTGGTCCCACCCCGTGTGCTTGGGCATCCAGCGGACTGGAGGCCATCATTTAATTATTCAGGTTGAATTCACCAGCCGTTCCAGGAGAGAATATTGAGACAGACATTTTTTGGTAAAGATTTACAGCCCGGGAGGACCATAAATCCTGGGAAGGGCCGCTAGGCTTTGGAATCAACCTAAGGGCAGTGGGTTAGGAGGATGAGGTGGGAGTGTGTTCCAAGCTGAGGAACCACCCACCACGGGAAGCCTGGGAACGAGACAAACAAGTTTGAAGACTTGACTTAATGTGTTATTTATTATTTTTGCAGTTTTTCCTAAGAGCTGGAGGAGTACTGCTTGCTTGTCACGCATGGTTCCCCTCCTTTTCCCCTCCCCTCCTCTCCTGTTGCTGAGGGGAGACTCACTAAGAAAACCACTAATGGTCTAGTAAGTTGGCAAACACACCACTGCTCCCACGATTCCTGCTGTCACCTCTCCTATTCTCACTCCCACTGTGCCCTTCACTACCTCCTTTCTTACCACTGCTATCTCTCAACCATCCTTTCTGAATCCATCACCCCCACCTTCAGGTCCTTCACAACTACTGCCGTCTCCAATATCTCCTCCACCATGACCACCATGACTCCCACCTCCTTCACCATCACCTTCTTCTCTGACACCTATTGCCACTTCCAGTCCCACCACCACCTCTACCAGTCCCACCACCACTACCAGTACTAGGACCACCACTACTGGTACCATGACCACCACTGCTGGTACTATGACCACCATTACCGGTACCACAACCACCCCTACTGGTACCACCATCACCACCACTACCAGTCTTACCACCACCACTACCAGTACAGTGACCACCACTACTGGTACCATGACCACTACTGGTACTACCACCACCACTTTGAGTCCACCACCACTAATGGTACAGCAACCACCACAACTGGTACTATGACCACCATTACCAGTACCATGACCACCACTACTGGTACCACCACCACCACCACTACTGGTACAGCAACCACCACTACTGGTACCATGACCACCACTACCGGTACCGTTACTACCACTACTGGTGCCACCACCACCACTTCCAGTCCCACCACCAACACTACTAGTATACCATGACCACCACTACTACCTCTACCACTCCTTCATTGCCAATATTTCTGTCACCACTACCACCACCTCCTTCACTATTACCACTACATCTAGTATCACCTCCACCACCACCACTGTTCCCACCTTCACAACCACCATATCCTCTGATACCATCACTGCCAGCTCCACCTCTCTCTCTGTGACCACACTACCTCCACCACCACCTTCTACACCACCACCATTCTCACTTCCTTTACCATCACCATCTCTGCCACCCACCACCTTCTACACCACCACTATTCCTACTCCATCATCCACTCCTTTGCCTTAGAGGTTTGCCATGATACCAGGAAGAAAGCAGATTTTGGTTCCCATGCATTGTATCTCTTCACCACCAATGCATTCACACTCATCACCGTCAGCCCTCTGACTTCACCTCTAACCGCATGCTTGTTAGAAATCTTACCTTTTCTGTTGAGCAACATGACCAAGTCATCCCACTTCAGCAGTCTCTGCCTCAGTTGTCCCATATGGAAAATGGGATTTGAGGGCCTGCTGTACCCTTGTCCCTCCCCTGATGAAGTAATCGTGATGACATAATGATTCTGCAGAGACGTTTTGACAGCACCACTGTTTTCTGCAAAAGCAAGGCCTAGCATTCAAAACTTACAGACTCTGCACATTAATGTCCCCTTTCCTGGTAATTATTCAGTAATTCTTCACATAAGAAGGGTTTCATTGTTATGTTTCATATATTCGTCCCAGTTGATGGCCTTTTAATAGCAGCGTTCAGTTTGTGTACAGAAAGGTGATTCATTTTAAGATTTCTAGGCCTTAATTGTTACTTGTTTTGCTTGGTTCCAGTGTGTTATAAATTGGCGATATCGTCCGAGTGTGTTTGTCTTGGCGCTGTGGTGTATTGTCTGCAGCAAGTGCTGCTTGGCTGGGCCCTGGCCTGGCTCTCCCCTTCTGTTCCTGATGTTTACATTGCCAGAGAGACATAGACACACAGGACATAGTGACACGCACAGAGGGAACGTTTCCCCACTCCAGAGCATCAAACAGGCTCTGAGCCTGTAATAAGCATGGCCTTAAAATTCCTCTTGAGCCTGCTAATGGCTGGGCCCACTCTGGGGACAGCAGATTGATCTCCCGTCCCTGGGATATTCCTTCCAGGGCTCAACTACTCAATTTTGAATCACTCATTTCTGCTCTCTATTTGACAAGGAGGAACCTCAGACTGTCTCCAAGGCACTCTTGACGAACCAGGCCAGAGGGTGAGAAGGATAAGTTGTTAGTCCCCAGAGGCTCCTGGTGCTGTGTCTGTCAGTCTGTCCTGATCCTTTATATCAGCTCGGCTTCTGCAAGCTTCATCTTTTAGGGGAAGAGAGCTTCCCTTGGGCCACTCAAACTCATTGCCATGGAGTCAGAACTGACTCACAGCCGACTGTCCGGCAGGTGGTTAGAAGCTATAAACTGCACAGGAGGAGATTGCCCGTCTTTCTCCCTCAGAGCTGGTGGTGGATTTGAACTGGCAGAGAGACGTTACCTGTGGGCTCGCAGTGAGTCCAGCTCCCTACCCACGAGGCCACCGGCCCTAACTCTCAAGTCGTTCTCCCACACAGCTGTCACTTCTGGGAGACAGTACCTTTGGGATTTTGTCACCACAGCAGAAACCACAGAAAAGGATGAAGGGGAGTGGGGTGGGCAAGTGAGGGGCGTTTAGAGTGTATTAAGGAAGGAGGTATTGAGGAAAGCGAGTGGGCATAGGGCAGTGTGGTGGTGCAGTGTGGAACATGTTAGGCTGCCAACTGAAAGGTAAGCAGTTCGAGTCCATCAGCTGCTGCATGGGAGGAAGATGAGCAGTCTCCGCTTGTGAAGATTTCCAGCCACGGAAAGAAATCCAGTGGTCGGTATGAGTCAGAGAACCAGTGCCGGGGGCAGCGGGTGCAGAAGGCTTCATGGCCATGCAGTGGGGACCGTAACTGACCCTCATGGGGATTTCCAAGGCTGTCAACCGCATGGGAGGAGAGGGCCCTGCTGGGGGAGTCAAGCCCCCTAGCGAGGCTTGGCTTTTGGGCTAGAAGAGCAGCTCCCTCCAGACTTGGTCTCTAGAGCTCTTTATGGGTATAAAGTAATGAATCTTTAGTGTGTCTTCATGTTGACCCCGCTGTGAGTGCAGATGCGAAGGTGTGTCTATGTTTATCTGAGTGTGTGTGCACATGTGCATATGGTACAGGTTTGTGTATGTATGTGTGTGTGAGAGAGAATGAGGAGAGAGAGAGGAAGAGAGAGAGGGAGAGAGGTGGATTGTTTGTAGAGGGGACATTGTTCAGGGAGTTGCTGACTGCCTGTGGATCAGCTTTGGGCAAGCCTTCGACCCTGACAGTCACATCATTATTTAACGTCTGCAAGTTTCCCCTCTCTACTCATTTCTGGTGCTGTCTGGTGTCAGGGAAAGAGTCTCCCCTCTGTTACTGAGCTTGACTCCTTTCACTCCTCTAAACAGGAGGAGCTGGGAGGCTGACCAGTTTCAGTCCTGCTTCTGTACCTGACAAGGTGCTGGAGTCTGCAGCTTTCCAACTTAAAAGAGGAGGGGTGGGGGAGGGGGTAAGACTGAGAAAAACTGGATAAATTATGTTTACTGCATTAAAGTCTATGAGGGAAAGAATAGTTCAAAAGTGTTATATTTTAGGACATTATGTTTATCATAAGAGTACGGAATGAGGGTTGCAGAGTGGATTATATTTGGGGTAGGGGTGGGGTTGGGGCGTGTGCGGGGGGTATTGTGTACCAGTGAAGGAGTTTTTCTTTTGCTTTTCAAGGAGAGGAGTAAACGGGGGTGGGGGGTTGGAGGGTGGAGGGGGGCTGGGAGAAAGGTGCAACAATGAATGAATGGAATTCCAAAATCTCTGTAGATGTTCATTGAAATGAAAAATAAATAAATTAATTAAAAAAAAAAGGAGGTGGGGCGGGGAATCTGCCCACCGTCAGACGGTGCTGGAAAGAAAGTCAAGTCTATTCCCTCCCCTTGCCTGACGTCTTCATCAGTCTCAAAAGCTGCGTCTAGTTGGTTACAATTCATGGTGACCTCGTGTGGGTCAGAGTGAAACATTGTCCAGAGTATCATTGGGTACTTGATTGCAGGCCTCTCACCTGGGATGCCTTTAGGTAGGCTTGAACCTTCAACCTGTTGATTAGCAGCTTGCCTGTTAATGGTTGGTACCGCCCTTTTGTAATTTGGCATCCTCTTTGGGTGTCTAGCTCCTTGCGGGATGGGAGTGGGGAAATAAGGGGACAAATTGTGTAGCATGATGTGATGTTACCGATTTGTTCAAGTATCTACATATTGTACACGAAAACCTCACACAATTTTCCTAATGTAGACCTGTCTTAGTCCAGAGACACCATCTTCTAAACAATCCCATCATTACCCTTTCCTTTCCTGGCTCAGGATAGGACAGGATTTCAGATCCATTGCTCATAGGGCCTCTGTAAGTCACAGTAGACTCAATAGCACATTAACAACAACAACAACAACAGGCCATTCTCTGTACTGTACCCCAGACAAAAACATTTGTGGAAGGATAAAAATATTGAGCTCGTCACTGTTGGATTGTATTTGCTTTGTTTTCCTAGCAGTGCAGTCCCCACCCCATGTCCAACTGGGGTCTCAGAGAAAATGGCTGTAGCCAAAATTGCAGGGTCCCCAGCTTGGATCCCTGGGCCTGACCCACACCCTTCAGGGCACACAGCATCTAGCTGTCACAGGGCCTTTGCACATACTTGTCACTTTTCACTGGTGCGACTCTTTACATTTGTGAGTATAATTAGTTGATTGTTGCTGGTGTGTACTGTTGAGTTGGAACCAACCCCTAGCTGGCCCTCCAGCAGGTTTTCAGAGGCAGTTAATTGCATAGAAGGAGATTGCCCATCCTTCTCCCATGGAATAGCTTATGCATCCGTTCCACATATCATTGGGTTGCCAGTGCAACTCCTTACTATAAGGCTTAAACTTTAAGACTCAAAAAGGCAGAATTGTGTGTGTCCTTGTTCCTCATTGTATCTTGACATCTACCGAGGTTCTTGGCTATCAACAAACATTGGTTGAATAAGTGATTGAGCCAATGAATGAATGCATGAAGAGGGGGTCAGGTGTAGACACACTCTGTTCAACCTTACTGACATATATCTAATTGATGATAGGAATGGGTTGTTACAAATATCTAATAAGAAAATTTTCTTGAGTTACTCTGTTCTCTGCATTTTATTAATGCAAATCTTAATATTCTAATGAGAATCAAGATGTGTTCCATTGTAAAAGGTTCCATATGGCATTAGGAATTAGTCCTAATAAAATGATGAATGACTCTTCACTTCATTAACAAATGATCATTAATTTCAATTCATATTCTGACGTCTATTCCTGATCTTTGCCATTTCAAGTGTAATTAAAAGAATTGTAAATATGCAAGCCGTCACTGAAAGTTACAGGTGACTGTGCTATTTTGAGTCTATTCTTCAGTTAGTGAGACTCTGTTTTCTCATGCTCGATGTTTCCATTCCAGATGGGTTCCCAATCTCCAATGACCGGTCTTATAAGGAAGGGAATTATAGGAAGCAATACTCAATTGCCATCCAGCTGACATTTCTTCTGGCTGGAGGAGAATTTGAAGTTCTCACTGATTTGATTCTATTTGGATCAACAGCCAATATTCAAAGAAGCAGCAATCTTCTTTCAGTGCAATCAAAGTGTTGCACTGGGCAAATCTACTGACAGAGGCCTCGTGAGAACTTGAAAACGCCCAGGTGTCTCTTTGATCACTAAGTGGTGCCTGACTCAAGGCTTTTTTAACTGCCCCTATTCACCAGGAAGTTGAATAATCAAAACCTAAGTCAGAATTAATACATTCAACCGTTGGTGATGGTGAAAATATTGAACATACCACAGACTGTAAGAAGAATGAATGCATCTATCTTAGGAGGAAAACAATCAGAGGGGTCCTTAGCAGTGAAG